TTTGTCCTAAACCTTGTCTTATGAGTATCTGTCAGAAATGATAGATTAACATGGATGGGAATGTATGCACCATCAAATCTAGGTGGCAAAGTATTCACTCTAATTCAAGAAAATGATTATGTGGAAATACTTTTGCTAATTGATTTTAAGGATCTTATAAAGATCAATACGAATATTGTTTGTACTAATTGCATTCTCAAATTCAGAATATGATGATGGAATCCCTCTTCATATTTCGAATTCTGAGGAATTTCAAGCAATTTTTTAAACTTTTAAGAGATATGTTTATCATCTCTTGAAAGGGTTTGAGCACATACACTATCCGGATAAAGTACATAAGCTTAAGAAGCCTAATTAGAGGCTTGACAAAGCATCGCGAAATAGCAATCTACACTTCCATGAGAAAGTCAAAGGGTATTTATTTCTAGATGTCCAGTTGATTTCTGGATACATGTCAAAGCTAGTGGGAGCATAATTGTTATGTTGATATTGTATGTTGACAATACTATCTATAGGGAACAATGTCTCTACTTTGTAGGTTGCAAAAGTTGGGAACTGTTTCGCTATGGTGGACTTAAGGTAGGGGGCACTAATACTTCATTTCGAATCTAAAGGTTTAGATTGTATAGTTTAATAGAACTCAGTCAAAGGCATATATGAATATCATGTTGAAATGTTTTGATATTGGATATTCCATATATGGAAATATTATAGCAAGGAATTGAACAAATATTGGACCCTTGTAATAATGAGTCGAGTCCCATATGCTTTGGATATAGGATCAATTACATATGATATAATATTCGGATATTCTAATTTTCAAATACACTTAGAATTGTGTGAAAGGGATTAGAATTTCATGTGACTAAGGCTGTTAAACAAATGTCAAGAACATTCTGAGGTTTTACCGAAGACTGGTTGCTTATGAACAGTTAGAAGTATGAAATTATTTGGGAAGGACCATAGTGACACGTTTCGGATTGAGATGATTCTTGGTCATAATTGATGGTCATATGAGAATATGGAAATGTTTCCATAAGGGGAGATGTTTGCAAAATCTACATGTTAGTTAGAAACTTTAATGCAAGAGTGTAACATCCTGTTTGAGGACGTTTCTTAAATCAAGATTTTAGGACCATAATTTGATCATTTAAAGTCCTTGTACTTCATTGTAATGGATTTTAGACTCTATTACAGGTGTATGGTGATGACAAGTGATTTAAACCTTGGATTGTTCGATGGAAGCTAAGGGGTAAAATGGGAAAAGTTGTGTTTCGGGCTTCTTGCATAAATTAAGGATTTTAGTTCGAGATGTTTTTAGTCATAATTATCAAGATAGAATCATAGAGCTCGTCGATAGCTTTCCGTGGATATAAAGATCGTCGAAAACGGAGTTGGAACGAAGAAGTTATGGTTATTTGAAGTTAAGTTGGAAGAAGAGAGTCTGGCAGTACGTTGGACGTACACCAGGAGTACATTGGGCGTACTAGGATGAGGAAGTCGCATTTTTATGGCTATACGTCGGGCGTAACTTTAGGTATGTTGGGTGTACCGCGTAGAGTAAAAACCTTATTTTTTGTGGTTTTTAGCCCTATTTAAGGACTCTAACCCCTTGGGGTCCTTCCTAACATCAACCTCCACCCTCTTGAGCCTCCAACTCGAAACCCTAGCCCCCTGCAGCAAATCTTGAGCCTTTTTATGTGTTTTGGGTGTATTTTGGAAGAAAGAGAAGTCCAAGCTTGTTGATTGTTAAAGCTCCAGCTTGTGGATCCATAGCCTACATAGGTTTTCTTTACTCCAGAAGGTATACAGTTTGAACTTGATGATTCTTTTGTTAGATCTAGCTACTGTTCGGTTTTATGAGCTTTTTATCCCAAAAACTTGGTCTTTGTGAGTATGGACTACTCCAGACCATTTGAGTTGTCCTTTCAGACGTTTTAGAGTGCATGGTGACATAAAAATGCAAGCTTGATCCTTTCCTTTCATCCATGCATGAGTTATGGAGTTTTTGGTGATGTTAGAAGTTAGAGTTTTGGGATTAAACTCTATTTGGCCATGCAAAGGTATAAAGTTGGATACTTTATGGATTAAAATGTCTTTTAAGGTCAGTTCTAAGGATTTGGTAAAGTGTATTAATGATTAAGACCTTAAAAGTTGAGTTTGGATTTAGACCAAGTATCCCGAGCGTAAGTCTGGCTACGCCCAGCGTAGCCAACTGCGAAGCCACTTTCTATTGGATTAGATGTCTAAGTCATTAACTAAATTATTATAAACTTAAATTATTAGGAAAGTCCTTTTGGGTTGCCCTCAAACCTAGTAAAAGATTGGAATGTTATTTGGAGAAAGAGACTGCTTTATTAATTTATTATATGATTAATAAATTAATTAGAAATCAAAATAAATAATTTATTAATATGTTTTGAGAAAAATATATTAATTATAAATTATATTATTTAATTTATAATTAATCAGAAACTAATTGGAATTAATTTTGGAATTAATTAGATTAATTAAAAGTAGAAGGACCAAAAGTGTCAATGTCCAAAAGTTTAACATTGACTGATTCTAGAACCTCCTATGAGAGGGGACGGTTCTAGATGGGGTTAAGGAGCTTTTCTAGGAGTTATAGGAAGCTTAGAGTTGCTTGGGGGGGAGAGAGAAAAGGGTTAGAGTTATCCAAAAGGAAACCTGTCTTTTATGCACCTTCTAAGGAATCCCTAGAGCCATAAATTATACCTTCTACTCCTCTCTCTTCAATAGCCTCCAACTGCTAGGGTTTCGCTGAATTTTTTCCTTTTCATTTTCTTGTGAAGGATCTCAAAACGGGGGCGTCTCTCATGAGGGGGGGGGGGGGGGAACATTAACGATGTTTAGCACATCTGTCGCTTGAATCTGAGTCCTCAAGTCAACTCCACCATTTGGCATCACCCCTCTAGTGGCACCACAAACTTGGTCATCCTTGTCTACGTAATTTCAAACGCATTTGTCAAGGCTTACGTCTAAACTTTAGAAATTTGTCTAGTTCAACTTTGCATTGTCAATCTTGTGCTATGAATAAATGTCATAAGTTACCGTTCGGTGAAAATACCTTCACGGCATGCAAACCATTACAACTTCTTTACTCAGATGTGTGGGGACCAGTGCAAAAATCGATTGACGGTTATTCTTATTATGTGGTGTTTGTTGACTATTTCTCTAAATATGCTTGGTTGTTTCCAATTAAACACAAGTCATATGTTTCAAAAATATTCCCATAATTTAAACTCTTGGTAGAAAAGTTTTTCAATCTCCTATTATTTCCATTTTCACCGATAACGGAGGCGAGAACCAGGGACTTGTACCTTTTTCCAATCCATGGGAATATCTCATTACACTACCCCTCCTCACACACCGGAACAAAATGGTGTTGCCGAGCGTCGCCATCGCCACATCGTTGAGACTGGTATTTCCCTACTTCATTATGCAGGACTTCATCTTACCTTTTGGTCTCACGCCTTCCAAACAGTCGTCTATCTTATCAATTGCCTACCCACCTCCATTCTTGCGTCCAAAAGCCCATTTCATTGTCTCTATAATCAATCTACCAATTATACTAAACTAAAACCATTTTGATGTCTTTGCTACCCATGGCTAAAACCATACTCCACTTCAAAACTTCAATCCCGTTCCCAACCATGCATCTTTTTGGGTTACTCCTCTGACAAGTTTGCGTACAAGTGTTTTGATTCCAATACCTGTCGTCTCTACCACTCTAGACATGTGAAATTTGTGGAAAATCAATTTCCATTAAAAAATTCCCCTTCCACACCAATCACTATTCTCATGGTGGACCAACTTCTTTTCCCCGCTTCTTCACGTGGTTACTCTTCCACCTCACTCAATACTACACCCACCATAATATCATCACCCATATCCTTAGTCCCTTTATCCTCCACCACACAAACTTCTCTTCCCCATGCATCAAATACGTCACACACACCCGCTACCTCATCTTTCACTCATGTTTCACCTAACGAAGACTCACCTGTCTCATCCTCATCCATGAAAATATCATCCTCTATACCTACTCCCTTAAACGTAGACTCTCCTCACACCTCTCTTCACTCTATAAAACCCTCTCCATCATCCTCACCCTCTCCCCCTCTTCCCAAATGTACCAGCAAACCAAACCCAAAATACTACAATCCCTCCTTCGTTAACTACACCACCGCTCATCCGATTTCACCCGCATTCGAACTTACTACGCACACACAAGCTTCAAAAGATCCTTTATGGAGAAAATATATGGATGATGATTACAATGCCTTGCTCCACAATCACACGTGGGAACTTGTTCCGTATAATTCTTGTCAACCGATCGGTTGTAAATGGGTGTTTCGTATCAAACGTCACCCGGATGGCTCAATTGCTAAATATAAAGCACGATTAGTCGCTAAGGGTTTTCTTCAAGAGTACAGGAAGGACTACTTTATAACTTTTAATCCCGTCACAAAATCCGTAACTACTAGAACTGTTTTATCTATTGTTTTTTCACGGGGATGGTCTCTACGGCAACTCGTCGTTAATAATGCATTTTTACATAGTGAGCGACAAGAAGAGGTACACATTTCAACCACCAGGTTATGTACATCCTCAACATCCTACTCATATTTGTCGGCTAAAGAAATCGCTTTCTGGTTTAAAGAAAGCACTGAGAGCTTCGTACATTGCCTTGACTTCTTTTCTACTTCAATCGGGTTTCCACAAATCTCAAGTCGACGCCTCTTTTTTCATATATAATCACGAGAGCATTACCTACTATTTTATGGTGTATGTGGATGACATAATCATGACCGCTAACAACCTTCACTTCATAAATAATTTTGTTGGCACCCTTTCAACATGTTTCTCTATCAAGGATTTAGGTTATCCAAATAATTTTCGTGGAATTAAACTTATTCCCACCAACCGTGGATTATTTCTCTCTCAACATAGGCGCATCCTTGATATTTTAAACCAACATGGCATGGATGGTCACGACACAACTATGCTTATCTCAAATTCTCACTCTCGAAGATGGAGCTCCACGGGATGACCCAACACCTTATAGAAAACTTGTTGGCTTGCTACAATATGTTGATTTCACAAGACTCAATATTTCTTTTGCGGTTAACCGACTCTCACAATTCATGCACTCTCCGTCTCAAATACATTGGAAAGCTCTCAAGCGATTATTTTGGTATCTTAAAGGTACTTTGTATCATGGCTTGTTCTTGAACAAGAAATCTCCGTTTGAGCTCACGGATTTTTCCGACTCCGACTGGGGAGGAGTCACCATAGCGGGACATTCTACAACAGCCTATATTGTGTATCTTGGATCAAACATAACCTCATGGAAATCAGCTCGTCAAAAATCGATGCCCCGCTCATCCACCGAAGCGGAGTACAAATCCATTGCCGACATTGCAGCTGAGTTATCGTGGGTTCAAAACCTTCTTCAGGAACTTGGTTTATCACTTGAGGCTCCTCCATGTCTTTACTGTGACAATACAGGTGTAACGTACCTTTGTGCAAATCATGTGTATCACTCGCGTATGAAACGTGTCGCCTTAGACTACCACTTTGTACGGGAAAAGTAGGTGCGGGTGCCCTCAAAGTTCATCACATCAATTCTACTGATCAACTTGTGGATGTTCTTACAAAGTCATTGTCACGAACTCCTTTTCTATCTCTGCAGTCCAATACAGCACACACAACCCAATGTAAATAATTCAGAGATATTCACAATCAATGTTGTTGTAAATGTAGATATTATGTTGCCTATTTTATTTCCTGGCTTTCCTCCTATATACTCTATTTAATGGTGGAATGAAATTCTTTTACGCCTCGTTCCCGAGTTTAACAAAAGAAAAGAAGAGAAGAGAAAAGAAAGTCACGAGAGAAAAGAAGAGAAAGGAAAGGAAAACAAAATTTTCTTTTGTGTTCCCGAGTTGGAGAGAAATGGAAGGAAAATGAATCATTTTGTTCTTTCTTTCCAAATCCTCCCAAATCGGAAGGAAAGTTAGGAGGGAAAGTGATCCTCCCATTTTTCTCCACTTCCTTCCAATTCCATCCTTTAATGAAACTCGGGAACACCAATTTCTTTTATTTTCTTCTCATTTCCACCCATTTCCTTTCCTTTCTCTCGTTAAGTTGAACTCGGGAACGGGGTGTTAGTATTGAAGCCAAAATATCCCTACTATAATACGAACAACCTTTACGTATCAAGCCAGCAATTCACAAACCCACAACTATTTCTACATTGAAGAGAAAACATCGAACCAACATCACATTCGACGATGGAGATATTTCAAGTGTGAACCATCAATTCTGCCTTTGATTAAATTTGATAACATCTGAAATATTTTTGAGCTCATCGGAAGAAATAAACCAAAAGTCAATTTCAACTTTGACTGTGAATCCAGGACCAATACAAGTTTTACTTCCAGAATCACAAATCAATTCATCCAATTCACTAATCTTGAATCAAAATGTGTCTTAGTAAGTTATCTTCCAAAACAATTCAAACCATTTCGTTCATCAACTAAATTCACATGAACTTGAAGATACAAGAACAAGACAAGCGTGAACAAATAAATCAGATCGAACGTATATACATATAACAAATCAAAATTGGTCAAGTGAAGAAAGAACATTCGATCATGAAGAAATCAAGAATCATAGTGAATCGAAAATCTGGAATTGATCAAGAAAGTATGACGTGATGAGTATGTAGACTAATATGACGATTCAAGAAAGTATTAAATGAACAACTTTAAGATCTTGAACAAACATCGTGAACGAATGAATGAATCGATATCGTGAACAATCTGATAAGGATTAAACGAGATGAACTGAATTGGGCTTAAGATTAAAATGAGTTATTTTGGGCTTCAAATTAGATATGAACAGTAATGAATTACTTATTTGGGCTGAATCAAGATAAAGCAAATCAAATTTTAAAGAATTTGTACTTGATTTTGTACAAACCAAATCAAATTTTGGGCTAAATCAAAAGATAATTGGATCAACAAATTTAGAATTAAAAGAAAATAGATCCAATGGAGGGACTCACCAAGAAATTCAAATCTTCAAGTCGACTACACACGAAAATATTGCCATCTAGGACCATTGATCTTGAAAAGTTGTTAAACCTTCAAGATTAAGCATTGATACCATATGTAGTATCCCATTGATGATGACAGTCGAATACTTGATTCTACCCTAATCCCACAACCAAACAAGGAACATGAAATAAGGCTATATCAAACATTCTCAGGCTATAAAATCTTACTTATGAACAACTGTGATGCACACACTAAGCAACTACAGTCATAATGTCAGTTCCATATAGCATAACAAGGAATTCTCACAGGATATCAGGCATCATAAATCATGCAATTCTGTAATGAAATTCCTGAAGATCCTTAGCCTATAAACTGGCATGAAGTTCTATAAATACATAAAACAAGTATGGGTATCTTGGGGAACACTTTCCTCGGCTCTGGCTGATTGTACACATCACATCCTTCTTGTCAGTCTTTCTAGAGTTAATTCTGAAAAATATTTTGCCGATCTTTAGTTTAAGTCTGGAATCCCACAAGTGTTCATCCAATTCTCTCAAACCAGGGTTATGATACCACCTTGTAACATCCCAAAAATCATGACAATTTTTTTGTTTTAAAACTATATCAAAATCCATAAATCATACAAACCATAGTTTCCAAAAGTCAATCATAAATCAAAGTATCCCAAAATCATAGGTCAAGTAAATATCAAGGATGATGTTAGCAATCATGCCTTCACCTTGCCCTAATCCTCAGATGTACCTGAAACCATAAAGTAAAATTCTAAGCCAAAGCTTGGTGAGCTTCCCCCAAAATACCTCACACAACAGAACATATAAATACATAAACATGCATGTTGGGTTCACAGTCATCGGAGTGGATTACCCTTGAGCCCACAACATCAGTCTGGATTGCTATTTCGGCCCTCAACTTACGTTTGGGTTGCTCCCGATCCCACGTTATAATTACGATTTGCCCTCTCGGTCCTCATCTTATGTCAAGATTGCTCAAGCTTGTTGGCGTCCGCACAAAGCAGTATCACCTAAACCCAACCGCACTATGTCGACATATGCAACAGATAAACAATAACCAACAAGTACAGGTAATCATACATATCTACCAGTATAACAGATCACTACATCATGGCAACATCCTATATACCAAGATACATAACACAACCTAGTGGGCCGGTATTGGTGCCTTAGACCCATAAATACAGTGAGGAAACTCACCTCAAAGTCCAAAAGATAGCTACACTGATCACTGCTCCAAATACCGCTTTTACATGTCACCTATACAAAAAACATGGACCAAGCCTCAATCTACTACTCAAATTACTACATTTGACCTAAAGTCAAACTTGGTCAACAGTCAAAGGTCAAAATCTCCACTCCGAAGTCCCACAGCCAGTCATCACGTCGTAACCACCTGTTGGTCATGTTGTGACCTAATAAGATGAAACAGTCGCGGATAATCATTCTTACATCATTACACCCAAGTGATCACGTCGTGAGAAGCGCTCAGGACAGCTTGATGTATAAAGCTCTTAATCCTTTCAGAAATGCAACCAAAAGTTCCAGAATGTCTTATCTACTTCAGAACATCATAAAGATTGTGGCTTTATAGGTATGCATGGCCAATACATGCTACAAACAGAAGCTAGGTCTAAAATGGTGCAAAATAGGGCCAAGATCTCTTGAAAAAGCTCAAAGTTCTATAAACTCCAAATCCATGATCCTAATCCATAAAAGAACCCTGGGGAACCATAAAGTTGGAAACTTTATGGAACTCCAACACTCTTACAAGCCAAAACATGAAGAAAAACCATGGAAAACCTAGATCTAAGTACTTAAAATCATAAAGCAATAAACTTTTGAATACTCACAAGGGTCCAGAAGGTGAGAAAGGATGATGGTGAAGCTTGAAAGTTGAGATGGTGTACCAAATTCTCTTCTTCTTCTTCTTTGCTAGAAATCACCACAAATGAGCTCAAAATCAACTATGTAGGATTAGGGTTATAGGAGGCGTTAGGAGGTGATGGAGGCTGAGGGTGGTCTAACCTTATCCCTCACTTCCTTTAAATACGAGATACATCCCCCAAAATTAGGGTTTGCCTCGCAGCCAGGTCTCACGTCGTGAGCTCTAAAGTCACACATATTATTGAGAGGCCACGCCATTTCGTGACATGCTAGTGCTCACAACATGAGCTAAGTTTTGAACCCAAAAATTTAGTTTATAACTTAACAAAATGATTACCTAAACTGGGTGTTACTGTAACATTCCATTTAAATTAATTAAAATAAATAATAAACCCGGAGCCCCAAGATGTAAATTTATAATTTATATTATTTTATAATGGCCCTAAAACCAATAATATTTAGTGGAAAGTGGTTTCGGGTAGTCAAATGATATATTTTAGACTTTCGATGGTCAAAGTGTAATTTCAGGATGTATTTTGTACAGATTTTTAGAAGTTAGGGTGTGTTTGGTAAGTATTGGACTGGATTTGAAAGATATTTCAGAAGGCAGGGGTTAAATCTTAAATTTCAGATTCATTTTGAAAATATTAATAGGGGGGCATTGTTGTTATTATGGGGAAAATTTTGTAAAGATCGGGTATATAACCCATACAAACCCTAACCCTAAGGGATGAAGTTCAGCCGCCACCCACCCTTATGCCTCCCTCACCGGCGCTGTCACCACCCCTTTTCTGATCAGCTAACGACCACAACAACCACCAGACTTCCGCTCTTCTCCTCCTTCTCCTTCTTTAGTCGCTGCCATGAGAGGTCTCATCCACCACGCGCCTCATCTTCTTATTCAGTTTGTTTTGTTCACCATCATTCACGTCGTCAGTGTCAAGCAACAGCCGCCAAGGAATCACGTCGTCCGCCGCTGCTGCCGTGTAGCTAGCTGTCGTCGTCGCCGCCTTGTGGCTGGTTCATCCGGTCAAGTTCTCCGACGTCTTTATGCCGCCGTTCGTGGCGTCCGTTCTTAGCAAAAAAAAGTCGAGTGTCGCTGCTGCTAAGGGTGTGTGCGCCTTTTTCTGTTGACCGGAAGTGGAATAGAACCACCATGGCCGCCAACCATGGTGGCTGCCACCACATACCATCGTCGTCCACCATAAGGGTGGCTGTGTGTGTGTTTATTTATTATGTATGTATTTATTGGGTGTTTATTTTTGGGATATTGTGTGTATTATTGTAATTTGTAATTGAAATAATCAAGAAAACCCATAACCACCACCTTAAGTTGGTAGTTGCCGCCACCAACCGCCGTGTTGGGTGGCGGTATGCCTTGTTTGTGTTTAGCTTGCTTTTGGATGCTTGGACATAATTGGACTAGAACCGTAACCACCACCGTGAGGGTGGTGGCCTCCGCCGTGAGCTGTCGTGTGCCGCCGTTGACCACCACTACCCCAGGTGGTAGTGGGTGGTGCCCGACTTAGGAAAACCCTAATTGTCCTAATGAAACCCTAATGGGCCTAAGGACTTAGATTTTGGGCCTAATTGGATTTTGTTGGGCTGGAAACC